ATCCAATACCTTCACCAGCAAGTTTCCACAGTACATAAACCTGTCTGAAGAAAGCGACATTGATGACCCACCCAGCCCTGTCTCCTCCTCTGCTTCATCCAATTAATATAGTCTCCATGTATCCTGTAAATAGAAAATTATGGGGGCCCCGTGTGCATTCAGCTGACTACATTAAAGGTAAGTGCTCAGTCACGCTGTATCCATTCCTCATTATTTATTACTTTTACTGTACTGTAGCCAGTCCTCATTATTTATTACTTTTACTGTACTGTATTTCATTGTAGATTTTTTTTTTTTTTTATCTATGTCGGACTTAAGACCAATCGGACTTACGACCTGGATTTGGGTCCCTAACCCCGTTGTAAGTCGGGGAGCACCTGTATATATTTCTGCCACAGCACAATACAATATGGTACTTTTCCATGAAGCAAGCAGCCTAGCAACAAGCCTAAATATTTAGGCATTAGTATTATCCAGCCCTACAATAAAAGCAACAGCTGGTTGTAGTTCTATATACAGTACATAAATATATTAGTGTTACATGCCATACTTGTATGTTATGTGAAAAAATAATGTTTTATTAAAGGTGTGTTCACACGTGCATACATTTGGTTGCCAACATGTGATCAACAAGAAGAAACACGGATCTAATGCACGCAGCCGCACCCTACCAGTTGGAACCCTGTGCCTCATTTTGATCACATGTTAGCGACAAATTGTACACACGTGTGGATGCACCTTTAGGCTCACACAAAACAGCCTGTAATTTTCCATGAAGTCATGAGCCAACAGAGACATAAAAACTGGTTGTACTGTATACATAAATACCCTTAGTGTTAGTATCACTCCATATGAACCATTTCAATATAATGTTACGAATTTTTTTTTTCATTAATACCGACTGTAACAGCACATGAATTATGCAAGGCACAAAGAATTTTGGCCACACTTCAGTTAATTTGTATCCAAGAGATAGTTCAAATAGGGTAGAGATCTGAAGTTGTCAAATTAGCAAGGTACAAATGTATTAATATTATTAATGCAAAAATAGTACATTTGCTGCTGGTCTTTCTTATTAGTGAGCATGGACTATAATTATACATTAATGTTATTATTGCCTATAAAACAACAGACTACACCAAGCAACCTGATGTGAACAAAGATGGTAGCAGTGCATGTGCCAAGAGTGGCATCTTTCTTTACTTTATTCTTAGAAAAACCTAAATAGTAGTGCTATTCCTCCACCCAATTTACTTTATTATTCAGGCAAGATATAAGTTCTCTCACATAGGTATGTTTAATTAGGTAGCTGGTTAACTTGGGCTAGGGTCCTTAAATACAGTGGCCCCTCGGTTAACGAACTCAATCCGTTCCAGAAGGTCGTTCGTTAACCAACGTTAATAACCGAAACCATTGTTTCAATGGGTTTTTGGGTAATTGGTTCCAGCTCACCGAAAATTTCCTAAATTCAACAAAAATGGTAGAAAAGTTCACTTACTTTGAGGTGTGTATGTAGAAGGCTCCTGGATGATGATGATGATGATGGGATTTAGAATGGGGGTGGAGGAGAAGGAAGAAGAGAAGGCATTGGGGTGGAAGAGAAGTCACCCCATGGTGCCATTTCACCCATAAAATTTTAGCTCTCTGGTTTAATTCAAGATTATTTTCTTTAAATCAACGCTGCACTGCATTATATATTGTCAATATATAAAATATATTTCAAAATGACCAATAATTTGCTTGGAAACACAGAAAAAAAGCGTTTAGTTGAAGAGAGTCTCAAGCAAGATGTTACCTCCAGTGAAAACAGAGAGAGACTGACGCCTGTTTGCTGTGTAAAGAGGCTGGATGCCGCGCATTAAACTAGTCACTTTACCTTCAATTTTGTTCAATAATTGTTAAAATGACTAAAAAATTGAATATTAAACTTTTAAAATTATTGAATAGTATAAACTTCTTGATATTTACAAAAATAGTAAGGAATTTAAGCCCTAGAACCGATTAATGTATTGGCGGACTGATACTAAAGCTGGTTGCCCTGTCAGTGCAAGCGAAAACATGTTGAGGTCGGTTCGTAAGAAGTTCGTTAAGCGAATTTTTTTTCGTTAACCGAATTGAAGATCCTTATGGAAGGCAGTTCGTTAATCGAAATTACGTTAACCGAGGTGTTCGTTAACGAGGGTCACTGTATTATGGTCTCGGTTTTAGTGGGGATCCTCATCCCCATAGGGTTATCCTTTGACGTGAAAGATACAGGGTGAGTTTTGGAGACATTTCTAGGGAAAAAATTTGTTTTATAAGGTGGAAAATGCAGAATTTTGAATCTCAAAGCACATATGTCTTTTCCTGTAAGTTTAAGGAGATACAGTTGTACCCCACTTAACGCGGTCAATTGAACCCAGAGGGTCCCGCGTTAAGTGAAAACCGCGTTAAGTGAATAACAGAACATATGGGATTAATTCCAATAGAACCCAGCCCGACCCCCAAACTCCACTTTTTGACGACAAATAACTATGTTGTAGTAAAAATAACATCTTAATTTTATGATGGTACATGCACACAATTAATACTTAAGAGAAATAGAGAAATACAGTCGCCAAGTTAATGTCCATTCAAATAATGGACTCAACTCCCTCCCCCTCTTCTCACACTACACTCACTGGCTCTTCCCTCTGAGAAATTTTTTGGGGAAAACCAGGTATAGTAATAAATAATTCCTCAAACTAAAGTTAGGATAATATAATTGACATTGCTGGATTCCTTGTAAGACCAGGAATATTTTGAATATAAATGTCATATATTTTGGACAAAAGATAACATAATTACCTAGAGAACAATTTTTATCTAAAAATTGTATGTTTAATGCAAAATATATGTTGTTTATATTCAAAATGATCACCAAATTATAAGAATTCCAGCAATGGAAATTATATTCTGACCGGGTAATTTGTATGAATTTTATGAGCTAAAACAAATATCTTCAGTTAATAAAAAAAAAAAAATATTCTTCGACACTATCTGTCAATCAAAGTACCCCACCTTGCCTTCCCCCCCTCTTCCAACCGCGTGGTCAGTCCCAACCCTCCCCCCACCCCCCACCAATCCTCCATTCAAGAGTTTTTAACATTTAGTATTAAATAATACCTCAGATTAAAGTTAGGATAATATAATTGACATTGCTGGATTCCTTGTAAGACCAGGAATATTTTGAATATAAATGTCATATATTTTGGACAAAAGATAACATAATTACCTAGAGAACAATTTTTATCTAAAATTGTATGTTTAATGCAAAATATATGTTGTTTATATTCAAAATGATCACCAAATTATAAGAATTCCAGCAATGTAAATTATATTCTGACCGGGTAATTTGTATGAATTTTATGAGCTAAAACAAATATCTTCAGTTAATAAAAAAAAAAATATTCTTCGACACTATCTGTCAATCAAAGTACCCACCTTGCCTTCCCCCCTCTTCCAACCGCGTGGTCAGTCCCAACCCTCCCCCACCCCCCACAATCCTCCATTCAAGAGTTTTTAACATTAGTATTAAATAATACCTCAGACTAAAGTTAGGATAATATAATTGACATTGCTGGATTCCTTGTAAGACCAGGAATATTTTGAATATAAATGTCATATATTTTGGACAAAAGATAACATAATTACCTAGAGAACAATTTTTATCTAAAAATTGTATGTTTAATGCAAAATATATGTTGTTTATATTCAAAATGATCACCAAATTATAAGAATTCCAGCAATGTAAATTATATTCTGGCCGGGTAATTTGTATGAATTTTATGAGCTAAAACAAATATCTTCAGTTAATAAAAAAAAAAAATATTCTTCGACACTATCTGTCAATCAAAGTACCCCACCTTGCCTTCCCCCCCTCTTCCAACCGCGTGGTCAGTCCCAACCCTCCCCCCACCCCCCACCAATCCTCCATTCAAGAGTTTTTAACATTTAGTATTAAATAATACCTCAGATTAAAGTTAGGATAATATAATTGACATTGCTGGATTCCTTGTAAGACCAGGAATATTTTGAATATAAATGTCATATATTTTGGACAAAAGATAACATAATTACCTAGAGAACAATTTTTATCTAAAAATTGTATGTTTAATGCAAAATATATGTTGTTTATATTCAAAATGATCACCAAATTATAAGAATTCCAGCAATGTAAATTATATTCTGACCGGGTAATTTGTATGAATTTTATGAGCTAAAACAAATATCTTCAGTTAATAAAAAAAAAAATAATTCTTCACTGGGTAACAGATGGTCGGTCGGTCGGTCCCTCCCTCCCCCCCACCCCCCACCCCCCACCAACCGTCCCAAGGAGATGTGTGGGATAACCACTAAATTTTAATAAATAATACCTCAAACTAAAGTTAGGATAATATAATTGACATTGCTGGATTCCTTGTAAGACCAGGAATATTTTGAATATAAATGTCATATATTTTGGACAAAAGATAACATAATTACCTAGAGAACAATTTTTATCTAAAAATTGTATGTTTAATGCAAAATATATGTTGTTTATATTCAAAATGATCACCAAATTATAAGAATTCCAGCAATGTAAATTATATTCTGGCTGGGTAATTTGTATGAATTTTATGAGCTAAAACAGGCAGTCAGGCAGGGTGGCGGGTGGGGGGTGGTGCGAATCTAAAAATAGCTCTCGAGCCGGACACTCACCGCGTATATGATGAAAGCGTATATGATGAAAAATGCCGCGTTAAGTGAAAATTCAGCTTTGGCAAGGCACCGCGTATATGCGAAAACGCGTTAAGTGAAAGCGCGTTAAGCGGGGTAATACTGTATTGCCAGAGCACAGCAAGCATTTCCTAACTTAGCACCAATAAATCAGAACAGCAAAGCATTTATATTATTTTTAAAAGAGTTTTCAATTAAGTGAATACCTTAATTCTGGTTCTGTACAAAACATTTGTAAATAAGAGGAATAAGTAAAAATTATGATTTTTAGAAACATTGTTATTTATCATATTTCCATATCTTCCCAATAAATATTAAAAGAAAAACCATAGTAAACTGGCATTTAAATGCAATCCTGCTATAAACTGACACAAAAATGGTCTCCAGTGCATTTTTTTAAATTTCTCTTAAATCTTCTGAAATATTATGAACATCAGCATAGTTACATAAAGCTTTGTCCACTCACTAAATATAACATGAAACTTAAATTGTCAACATGCAAAAGAACCAATACATTTTCCTCTAAATCTACAGTAAGCTTAACTCCAAATAAGAAATATACTATGCAGTACAGTATTCCTAAGACAACTATCCTCTTGGCATGGTATAAAAAAAATGAAACCCTTTCAACTGCAATTACACAATTCTAAGATTTAATACAGACAACTATTTTTGTGATTACTGCACAAAAGAACCTGTATCCTCAGATGCATTTTGTACCTTATACTACAGGTACACCTTTTCACCGAGTACAACATTTATCTTCCTAAAGACAGCAAGATATAATTCCTATCTTGTATATGCATAGATGCACCACATGAAAGATTAATTATAGGAACAGTCACCTAAAAATAAATCCTCCCAACAATTCAGAAACCTCTTATATGCCAGTCTACATGGAAAATAAATTCTAGTACACACCATTTGATTTACTACACATAATATAACTTGCTTGAGAGTGCATTTTTCTGTTCAACTGTAGCAACACACTTAATTTCTTCCTGAGTCATACCATCTCCATCCCTTTCAGACAATTCTGAGATGTGTACTTTTGCCCTGGTAATAAGAGAGAGTATATTAACACTAAAATTACTGCAACTGTATACATTATATGTATTTACTGCAAAGGAAACCTGATGTATGGAAGAATTAAATAACAAGCAACAGACATAGTAAGTAGGATTAAGTAGTGATTGTTATAGTAAGTAGTGACAGGTAGGTAGTTGGGTAAGTGTGTAGATGGGTAAAGAAGGTGTTGTAAGCAGATTGGAAAGACGGTAGGTAGCTAGATGAGTAAACAGATAGTTCGGGATATATAAGTGAGTAGGTGGTTAGGGAAGTAAATCTGCAGGTAAGTGAATAGAGATAGGAAATAAGAAGATACCGGTAAGTAGGTTGTGAGGTCAGTATATAGGTAAGTAAGCAGATATGTAGGTAGGTAGGTAAGTAAGTAGTTGGGTAGGTATGAAAGCTAGGTAGAAGGTAGATAAATAATTAAGTAGTAGGTAGATAAATAATTAAGTAGTAGGTAGATAAATAATTAAGTAGGTAGATAGGGAAATAAGTACCATAGGTACCTTTATTTTAGCATCTTATTCTTTATTCATATAAACTAATTATCTTTAACTGAAGGAAGAAAAAGTCGAGGTTAGAGTCAGCTGTTGTATTCATCTGCAGACATGAGCATGGTTTTGGTAAGTATTCTAGTGAATACAGTACAACGTCACATATATAATTCAAACCGATACAACATTAGTCATATTATATTCAAAATATCTATCAATCTAATGTATCTCATGGTTTCTTGGTGGTTGTGCTGTGATTTTACTTTTTACGTTTATCCTCTTCACCACTGATTGGCTCGTTAGCCGCTTGGGCGATCAGTCACGTCTGTTACTTTTCTTTTTCTTTTATCCTCTTCACCAAATGATCGGCTCGTTAGTCGCTTGGGCGATCGGTCACCCCTTTGTTTCACACTGTTGGCAAGTACTGGGCATGCACCAGCTCCTGAATGTACCTGAACCCACTCCAGTGTTGGTCAAGTCTGGTCTTGAAAGAGCTCACACTCGGTGCTGACACAACACTTTCTGGTAGATTGTTCCAAGAGTTCACAACTCTCACGCCGAAAAAGTTTGCCCTCACAGTTTTCTGGACCTGCGGCTTCTTCAATCTTGAGCTGTGACCCCTTGTGGGGCGAGTGTCCGCCAGCTCCAAGTAAGGACACTCGACTGAGTAGTGTCCCTTGAGATGCTTGTACACTTCAATTAGGTCTCCCCTTGCCCATCTGTAGTATAAGCTAGGCAAGTTCAGGCGCTCCAATCTCTCAGGGTAGCTGAGGTGCCGAAGTGCAGGCACCAGTCTGGTGGCCCTCCTTTGAACATTTTCAACCAACTGACAGTTCCTAGCATATCTCGGGGACCAGACAGGGTTTGAGTACTCCAGATGGGGAAGCACAATGTTTTCAAATGGTGCACCCTCGCTATTCTTCACAACATGCATCATTTTTCCACATACTTGGGCACTTATTTCTATACTTGAACACTATTTGAATTTCACATTTCAAGTGTGATACACTTTAAAACACGGTAAGACACATGGTGGTGGCCGCACATCAAACACATGTAAAATGTTTCCTTGTACACCTGAGGTTGCTTTGTTGAATGTGCATACATAGCCATGGCATTTTCTCGTTGGGTGTCTCATTGATGCTGTAGGAAGGATACAGTCCGGGATTTGAGCAAACTGGGAGGCATTAAGGCTTTGATGTGTTTCTGGGAGTGGATGGACTGTGGCTCACACAGTTGGTGGTAGACAGCCAGAAGTTGCTTGAGGATGTGAATGGTGTGGTCAGTGAATTTCTTTCCCTTCACTTGTTGGTATAGTATGTGTGCATTTTAATAATAACATGTCCAGGAGATGGAAAAACATTTTCTTATACCATTTCGTTGTTTTCCAGGCACTTTTTACACTAGAGATCATTGCATCTGATTTATCTCCAAGTCTCATGGTTATATTATAAAAAAGAACACTCAGGTTTCATCTCGTATTGTTTTGTTGCCTTGTGTATGTTATGGCTCAGCACAAAGGTGGACAGTAGACATCAAATTAACACCCTTCTTATTACACCATTATATTGAAAGGCATTACTGTGCTTTCCTAAGGATGACTTGGCCATCACTCCTTTCTTTTTTGTTGGGGAGGTATGGCATAGCAATACGCTTGGCTCTGCATGTCCCACAAGCCCTGGTCTTTGTTGTCATGTAAGTACCTGTACTGGAAAAACACTACCCTGTCCCCCCAGAATGGCCAGTGATAGGATCAAGTGTTGTATCAGTAGTGCCCTCATGTACATAATATCTTGGATGTAGCTCATCTTGCAATCACACATCACAAACAACTTCAGGCCAAAATGGTGTCGCTTGGGTGGAAACTGATACTGCCTCGACACAGCACTATACTTCTACGAATACAAATATTCTGGTAGTATAGATAGAAGAGGGTCCTGAATTTCTCATGTAGGTTGTCAAACATAGCGGATTTTCTTCGTCGAGTCACTGTACCCCTCTAGATTATCATAGACGTGGAGCAAATGTAAAATATTTGTGAAACTGTTTACTGAGAGTAATTTGTGAAATATTGAAGTGGCAGTCTGTACCAGGTCAGTGGTCCAGTACTCTATTTATGAGTGGCAGGGTGGCAACGTGTGGGCTGGGGGTCATCTGGGTCATCATCGCTGTTTGTGTCATCCATCCCTGCAGGAGAGGCAGGCCCAGGGGGTGGGTGTAGGGTCATAAGATGAACCAGGTGTGGGTGAGCGGAGTAAGGGAGAGCGTCGAGATAAAATGCTTATGCCTGTGTTGAGAAGGGGGGTTTCAGAGGCAGGTGAGGAGCATAGGGTTGGTTGACGCTCATGATTACATGGAGAGAGAGAGAGAGAGAACGGCGAGACAATGGTGTCTTCCCGCTTCTTTTTTTTTAGTTGGCCCAATCTCACTACTTCTCCTAATGCTGATGCCAAGAAGGTCCTTGAACCCAATCTTGATCATCACCTTCACACTGAGTCACATATAGTTCCTCATTTTCCTTATCCCCTTACATATTTTCTTCACTTTCACTACTAGTACTTCCCTAAATGTAATCCAGGTCTGTGCGTCAAATCACTTTCATCACACGTGGCTTCATTATCGATATCACTACCACTCATAAAAAATAAGACGGTTTCAAAAAACAATAAAACAATTCCCATTTATTTTGCATAATAGTGAAGCCCAAAACTGCAGGATGTGTATACTTAATACACATTCTTGACCAACAACGCCTCTCAAATATAGAACAAGTATTCTCTTCCATGACCATCAAAAAGTTAATAAATACTGCATTGTAACTCCACAAGTAACCCAATAACCCTCTCCCATCCCCCCCCCCCAAACTCCCTTACCCTCCTCAATCCCCATAACACCACCCCCCCCCACACTTGTGATTTCTTCAGATTCCCGAGTTATGCTTTTGACTGTAACATCTTGACTGGGGTTATCACAGGGGGTATAGGAACACCTTTCCCTGACTGAACTACTGTACTGATTTTTTAATGCATTCAACACCACTAATCAGCATATCACCTGTTAACTTTTCTTTTTTAATTGGTTGATCAACACAACCTTCTTTCTGTTTCTACCATATCTTTACAAATGGTACTTAACATATGTATCATCCAATTATCACCACGTGAAACAGAAATTTTTCATTATGGCAGGACACCGTGAAATCATCCTTTTGAACAGGGAACTTTGGCATGTTAAATTAAGATGATCTGACAAAAACCCCTTCATTAACAAAGGTGAAGGGAAAGGAGGGGTGAAACAGTCCCTCCACAGTACACCCATGCCTGTGGTAATTTATAAATTATTCTAAAAAATATCTTAATAAAATGTGCTTAGGGTAAATATTTAGAGATTTTAACTTGCATAAGCTGGTGGCTATACATACTGTATGTATGTTACTGTAAAAAATGAGCACACATTCCATTATATATATTTATATTATGGATATACATTATACAGAAAATAATAACATAAAATATATTAGTAATGCTTACCCCAGTTGCATGCATTGATCAACTATGGTGATCTCTTGGAGTCAAGGAAAAACTATATGATTCAGATAGATAGAGTGAAGGACATATAAATGAAAGGAATAGATATCCAGGAAGCAGCAGTCTGCATGAATGAATGGAAGGCACAAGAAAAAGGAAAATAAATGTCCGGTGTGTGTTAACCCTTGATTACTTCCACCCCGTATTAAGCAATAAGTGGCTTGAAAACTAAGAAAATTTCAATACTCTCCTGAGATATATATATATGTAAACAATCATAGACATTTACCTGAAAGCAGCCAAATGAGCATAGTACGCAGGGCTTGGAAGGGAGACAGATCTTGTACAACGAAAGTACAGATGGCATAAACTGTAGGTTAGCATCTGTATATCATCCATTGTCATATCATTGTCATCCCACAGAATATGGTAATGAGTTGGTTTGCTGGTACCTTGAATACCCTGGAAATAATAAATTAATTCAATTAAAAGTTGAAAAAAAACTGCTCACACTGTTCCTTTTATATACCCTTTAATGCTTCCTCTGGGTGGTTACAGAGGTTTAAGATCCGGAACAAGATCACCAATATAAACATTGGTGGTGAAGAAGCGAGTGCTGACCGTGCTGCGGCTAGGGAATTTCCTCCGTTTTTACGTGAGATTATGGAGGAAGGACAATACACCGACGACCAGGTGTTTAACATGGACGAATCTGGTCTTTTCTGGAAAAAGCTACCTTCCAAGTCCGTCGTTGTAAAGAATGCCAGCAAGATTCGGGGCCGGAAGATGCAGAAGGAACGCATCACCGTCCTGTTTACCACCAATGCCTCCGGTACCAGTAAGCTCAAGTTATCGGTGATCCACACAGCATGCAAGCCGCACGCCTACAAAACCATGGACATGACCAAGCTAAATGTCCACTGGCTGACCGCACGTAAGGCGTGGATGTTCTCTACACTGTCCCTCACCTGGTTTGATGACTATTTTGTTCCCGATGTAAAGAAATTCTGTGAGCAACAGAATGTGCCATTCAAGATTGTGTTGCTGCTGGACAACGCACCAGGACACTCGCCCCTACTGTTAGATCATCACCCCAACGTAAAAGTGGTCTTCCTTCCTCCCAACACTCCGTCTATATTACAGCCCATGGACTAAGAGTTAATCTGTAATGTAAAAGCTGCATTCTCTACGAAAAAATTCCAGCTCCTGAACGACTACACCAACACCAGGGAAGAGTTGCGCAAAGTGAGTGACACCACCACCGATAGCAAGAGCGAAGAAGATGAGGATCAACAGTTGGCACAGCAAAAAATACTGTTCAAACAATTCTGGAGAGTATTTAACATCAAGAAAGCTGTGGACTTCTTGGTGGAGTCATGGGATCAGCTGTCTATTGCTACAATTCGTCACGCATGGAGACATGTGTTACATGGAATACCAGGTGAGAGGAGGAGTCAATCTGTGACTGGTGAGGTTCAGATTGTTGCAGTAGCAGTGGACCTTGCCAGAGAAGCTGCGCAGACTGTTACAGTTCCAGGCTTCTCCGAGACCACCAACGACGACATCCTGGAGGTGATAATGGAACCTGATGTGACTAACGAGGAGATGGTAGATGATGATGATGACGACGTCAGTGAAGAGGCAGGTGGTGCGTCATCCCAAGAAGAACAACACTTATCCATAGTAATGTTAGGGGTGCCATCGAGTGTATCGAGAAAGCCAAGCTCCTCCTTTCCGA